TTCTTCTTCTTCTGCTTCTTCTTCTTCTGCTTCTTCTTCTGAGCTTTCATAGCCTCTGGCTGCTGGAGAACAGAACAAGACTATTGAGGATACCACCTTGAAGAGACGAATCAGTTGCAGCTCGCTTTTTCTGCTCCTATTTCCATTCCCAAGTGTTTTTTTTTTTCTACTACAGTTTACGTTATATGACCTGCTCAAGCATCCTCTCTTGCCCACTCCCAATCCCAGATGCATATTGTTAGCTATTCGTCCATGTACGCTACCTTCGAGGAAGCGAAATCGGCTCCAAGTGGTTTGGCCGTGATTGGCGTTTTCTTCCAACTGACGACTGACCAGGCTGAATCAAGTCTTTCAGAGATGGGCAACCTCTTCTCGAGCCTCGGAGGGCTCTCAGATGCTGGCTCAAACTTGAACGTGACTGCGTTTAGTCCCGACGTTCTGTTGCCCCAGAACAAAGAGAAGTTCTTCCGCTATCAGGGTTCTCTCACTATACCGCCCTGCACTGAGAATGTACAGTGGACAGTAATGAGGCAACCTCTAAGGGTGACAAATGAAGATGTAAGTTTCAATTCCGTCTTCTAGTGGGTTTCTTATATGTGCCTTGCTGCACGTATCTGTAAAATCAAGTAATGGCATGAATTTTGCATACAAAATAACTGGGGTGCATGAGAAGGGAGTTTAAGTATGCTAATTAGTCTTCGGCATTAACTTCATGTGTATTTCAATTTATTTTTTTGCTTAGGTCTGGGTTTAATTATGGGTCAACCCATAGCCCGGGACCTGCGCATTCGCATGTGGACAGCGTTAATGGTGCACGGTTAGCCATCAACATCAACAACCCAGCTGAATAGTGAATGGATTCCCGCGGTCAAACAAACATCTCCTAACTTACAGTATATTTTCTATCCCATGAAACGTTCCCGGAATTCTGAAATGCGCTTTCGATTCAAACAAATTAATTACGTATGGTTCTAAAAATAGCGATCGTACAGCTTAATCTCAATACATTTTGGTCACATTAGGATGCCGGCTTTTTGA